ATATATATATATATATATATATATATATACCAATTTGACTTAAAACAAATTGTGTTGGCACATTAGTGTGGTAAGTGAGAATTTCTTGACTTTTTCATGTCTTTATTATGCAAATTTATATGGGCACTCACTCATCTTTCAAACAATTCTGGTGGGTAAATATAAGAAGTAAAAGAATAATAGCAAAACAATATAAACAGTAAAGATGTGAAATAAACACTATTTATTCAAACAGTCTGAGTCAAGTACCAAGTTCTAGAGCAGGCATGTGAAACTCACGACGTCACGTGATGTTGCACAACGTATCATGACTTTTTCTCCATTGCCAGCAATGGGGTGGGCGCGGTTTCGACGTGATGCATCCAGCCTGCGGGCCGGCAGTTTGACATGCCTGTTCTAGAGTCTTCTGAAAAGCCAACAGGATTGTGGCATTTGGAAACTCAGTGGGGATAACTGAATTGCATCGAGAAACTGACTAGGAACTGGCATAATTAATTAGGCAGAGGGGTTATATAGGGATATTGAGGAGTACCTAACTGCTCCTACTGCTGTATTCTGAATCAGATGCAGTCTTCGAGAGCATCCCCAAGTAGAATGCATTGCAGCAGCCCAAATGGGAAATGACCAATGCATGAAAGAGCAAGAACATAGGCTACTGAGTCAGAAACATGGACAACTGGTGCACAAGATTAATTTGTGCAAAGGGCCTCATGGCCACAGCTTCACCAACTTGTTGAGCAGGAGCCATGAATCCAGGTGGACTTCCAGATTGCACTCCTACTCAATCTGAGAGAATGTTTACAATTGCATTCTCCAGATCTCTGGTGGGGAGCAAAGCCCACAACCACTTGATATTGCTACGGTTAAGTAGGATCCTATTTCCCCTCATCCACATCCTTACAGCCACCAAGCACTGAGAAGGAACCTTGGCAGCATCACTTGGGAAGCTCATGGTAGAGATGTATAATTGAGTATCACCAATATACTGATGGTATTTAACTCCATCCTAACAGATGATCTAACACACGGGTCCCCAAACCCCAGTCTGCGGACTGGCACCAGTCTGTGGCATGCCAGAAACCAGTAAAGCTCCATCTGCGGGATGCAGGCAGCACACGAAACCGGTCTGTGGAAAAATCTCTCTCCATGGAATCTTGACTGCAAATTAAGTTTATCCAGATGCACATTTTATATAGTTTTCTAGAGGCAATATGAATAGAATAGAGAGGGTAACATTTCTACTCTAGCCAAGCTTTGACTATGAATATTTCTGTACAAATCTTAAGCAGAAATGTTCCTCCTTTCCCATTCTTTTTATTGGAATGGTGTGCCTTTTAAATTGTATGACTGAGAGTAGATGCAACCATGCTACTGATCTTTGTAAGATGTTTCGGGAGTTGTAATTAGAATAGAAGGTATCAAGAGGCAGGGAAATGAAAAAAAAAACAAATATAGGATGACCATTTGAAATTCTAATCTGTTCTTTATGGACTTATTCATGACGATATTCACGTACATATCTACAACTAATAGGAAAGGATAAATAGGCAACAGGTTTGGAGGATGTTAGCTTTCTTCAATTTGGTGCTTTCCAGATGTGTCAGGATTGCAACAAGCAGAATTTTCAGTTTGAGTTAAAAGTAGAAATCCTGGGAACTGTAATCCCAGCAAATCTGAAAGATACTAGATTAATGAAGGCTAATGAAGATGTTATATATTGCAGACAAAAGCCAGTGAGAAAGATCAGTCAAAAGTAGTTCATTTTTTAGCTGACCAGTGTGCAAATACATGTCAAAGTTTCATAGCATGCTCTAGCAACAATCATTTACATGCATGTTACACCTAATACTGATCTGACAATAGAAGTGACAGGTGGAAGACTGACTTACCATCAGCAATAAGATGTTCTGGTACATGAAGTGTTATCTTGACCACAAGTGGGCAACTCACATGAGAAGCACAGACCAGACCAATAATACAGCTGGTGATGCTGATGAGAGTCAGAGTTGTCTTGCTAATAGGACTTCTAGGTGAACCCACTAAAACAGTAAGAAAAGGAAGTCAGTGACATCCAAATATGCCTCTCTCACAGGCCTCAACACTGAGCTGGCACAATGGCTCTTGGTGGTGCCTTTTATGAACTACAGCTCTGGGCTAGTGCAATGGTTCTTCCTGGGGTCTTTATGAACCTGGGGTTCTGACCATTCAGCAGAAAGAGGTGCAGACACCAAGGTGAAATACAGTCATTTTCGGGGGGGAGGGGGAAGGCATGTGAGAAACAGTCTTGCTCATTTGTGTAGATTTGGAAATAAAGCTGGGCAATTTCCTGAAGCAGTGTCAGTTAACAGCCTATACCCTAATTGGTGGCTGTGAACAGCAGTATCCCTCATTACCAGCCCACAAGTGCATAGACATCAGGTTCCCCAGAGTAATTAATGCTACTCCATAGACTGCTTCAGTCCTCCTGCTTTCTCCAAACGGAATCTATTCTTGTCTCAGTCATGCTTCCCTGAGTGGCAGCCTCTTTACACCTCCCCGGGTGTCAAGGCATTTTGCCATCAACTCTCTCTGACAGGCAGTATGACATCCCATCCAGGCAGAAGCAGTGCTCAGATATGCTGCGAGGGTAGCATGTAAAATCTGAAGCCACAGACAAGCTCTTATGCTTAGCCGATTGTTTTTACAGCCTTAGGTCATATGAAATGTGAATTGTGTGGATTGTTTGTGTATGTTTTAGCCAGCCATCTAAAGGACGTATCTGTGGTAAAAACTGAAAGTAAAATGAGTTCCTTGGGGGAAAAAAATGAAAATGGATGAGTTTCAAAACAAATGCGTTGAGCGAGGTTTTTTTTTTCTTTTAACATAAAACAAAAATCATGGTCTACTTCTGTTGCCTGTACTGGGTGGAACTGGTTACAGAAATTCTGTGTTTGTATTCTGTACATACAGCAACCATATAAAGCAAATGAAGCTGAGACTTAAACCCTCCCTTAGACTTAACACCCAAACCCAAGAGGCTGGGATGATGTTTTCTCATGTTCATTCTGCTTCTATCATTGCTCCCCCTCTTTGTATGTTGCCCTTGCCTTGACCCGGTGTCTCTTCTATAATCAGCATCTCAAATGTTTTCTTTATAGGGACAACAGGGCTTACCTTATTTTCCCCTTCTGCTACCTTTCATGTACATTAGTAGTGTGTACTATTGCAGTAGAGATCCCTTCAAGGATTGTAGGGAGGAAGAGAATGCTGCCACCTACCAAACTTGAAATACTCACTCAGCTACCTCTCATTTCTTGATAACTCTTCTGGAATGTTCCTCAAGACCAGGGGTGTCAAACTGCCGGCCTGCAGGCCGGTGCATCATCCGGAAGCCATGCCCACTCCATTGATGGCAATGGCAAAACCGTCCCGTGTGACGTCGCGAGTTTGACATGTCTGCTCAAGAGCATACTTTTATTTCTTCTTCATTCAGGAGTTTTATCACTATAATTATTCATCATGTCTTTATTATCATCACACCTGTTTCTATTACAACTCATGAGAAGTTACTATCTATGCCTAATTTTGTTCTACTATAAATCTGTGCTTTAATTCCTTTCTTAGAAATCAGAAGACTGTGAGTTCTAATCCCACTCTAGGCATGAAAGCCAGCTGGGTGACCTTGGTCCAGTCACCCTCTCTCACCCCAACTCATCTCACAGGGTTGTCATTGTGGAGGAAAAAAGGAGGAGGAAGGAGTATTAGGTAAGTTCCCTACCTTCAGTTACTTGCAAAAATAATAAAGGTGAATTTAAAAAAATCTACAAAAGACTTTGTTGACTCAGTTGATTACTTAGCTTACATTTCTTTTCAATATATCTAATCTTTATAAACCCTACTCCTCTAATGTTCACTTTTATTACCTTTCAGTTAAAAATACTATATAATATTTCAGATACCAGGAATATATCTAGCAATATTTTTTTCTGACTTTATTCTTCTTTACTCAGTCCTGTGATAGCATCTTCTTATGCTATCAAACCACCGTTAACATCTTATCACCAAACTGTTCCCTCCCACTACTTTTTTTATAAAAACCTATTCATAACACTTATTCTACAGCACTTGAATACATAATAGGAGGAGACTCTTAATAATAATGGTGAACACCCTATCTCTTCTCTCCCATGTCTTAATAGATAATAGTAGATGTTTGAACCTGGATCTGTACATGCAAACTTACACACTCCTTGTTTGTGTATGCATATATAAGTATTCATCAAAATTTAATGCATTAATAGTCCAGATGTTGTGTGTTACATTTTATGTAATCATGTAATGATACTATACGATGCCAATTTTCAAAACAATCAAACTACTGACAAAGCCAACAATGCCAATTTAATAATATCATTAGAAAAAATACATTGATCTCTTTCTGGTCTTTACCTTACAGCTCTTAAGATAGTCATCTTGTTATACAAAGCCCAGAATTGCTTCTGTGAGATTGGCAGAAATGATATATGATAGATGATGATAGACAGACAGACAGACAGACAGACAGACAGACAGAATAATAAGAGTTGGAAGAGACCTTGGAGGTCTTCTAGTCCAATCCCCTGCTCAGGCAGGAAACCCTATATCATTTCAGACAAATGGTTGTCCAATCTCTTCTTAAAAACCTCCAGTATTGGAGCATTCACAACTTCAGGAGGCAAGTTGTTCCACTGATTAATTGTTCTAACTGTCAGGGAATTTCTCCTTACTTCTAGGTTGTTTTTCTTTTTGATTAGTTTCCATCCATTTCTTCTTGTCCTGCCCTTAGGTGCTTTGGGGAATAGCTTGACTCCCTCTTTTTGTGGCAATCCCTGAGATATTGGGATACTGCTATCATGTCACTCTTAGTCCTTCTTTCCATTAAACTAGACATACCCAATTCCAGCAACCGTTCTTTATATGTTTAGCCTCCAGTCCCCTAATCATCTTTGTTGCTCTTCTCTGTACTCTTTCTAGAGTCTCAACATCTTTTTTACATCGTGGTGACCAAAACTGGATGCAGTTATTCCAATGTGGCCTTACCAAGGTATTGTAAAGTGGTATTAACACTTTATGTGATCTTGATTCTATCCCTCTGTTAATGCAGCCTAGAACTGTGCTGGCTTTTCTGGCAGCTGCAGCACACTGCTGGCTCATATTTAAGGATAGATAGATTTAGATAGATTTTTAAACACAGAAACCAGATTTCTGCCTAAACACTTCCCATGCATAATCTCTTTTCCAAAAATGAGAAAGCAGTTGAAATCCAGATGGGCAGATGGCTGGCTTCCAGATAACTAGAAGTGTGCACTTTCTGAGTCAAAAGAATCAAATACTCCTTGCCCTGCTCAAAAATGTGCCCTTAACCACATCAGTGGAAAGCTGAACTACTCCAGAAGGTGAAAGCTAAAACAATGACAACACTGCTTTGCTAGGTTCGTAGGTAATTTTCTTCTCTGAAATCATTTGTGAACTCATACATATAATCTATATTAATTTTCTCCAATCTGGTGCCTGAGCACTGCACTGGGATAATGCAAAATTATTTTGTCTTTCAGCAAGGAGCTTTTTGGTTGTCCATGAATAGACTGAATCAACCATTAAAAACCATGACAACAAAGGACTGCACTTGGAAAGGATAGGATTAGATCAGAATGCTTATAGCCATATCATTTATTGATACCTCTACAGTTTCAAATCCCCTTGTTAAAATAGGAAAGGCATAATCTGTATGGGTAATGCTACTGTAATTATATACTCAAAAATAACCACGTTGTTTTTCTACAGTTTTGATCACAGATATAGCCTATTGGTTAATATATTTTATTGCACAGCTATGTAAACTTTTCTTCTGCTTAGTATGTATTATGCTAAGTAGTCTCAGAAAAATACAGTGTGACATCTCTACTTCTTACCTGCAGTATATGATTCCAAATAATTACATCTACCTGAACTAACCTCAATATTAGAGGTGCTATTTCAGTACTAAAATTAACAGCGAAGCTGTATGTATCAACAAATAATTTCTTTTAAATCCCTATTCTTCCCCAGAAAACAGAGAAAAGTACAGATAATCCTTGTTTAGTGTCCACACAGTGGCAACTCAGTCATTAAGTGAAGAAGTTACTAAACAGCATCTATATATGCTTCTGATTTTATTTCAGCTTTCCTTTGCTTTGCAGATCTGCAAATATTGTAAATGTGAGCACTGCACCATCATAACTGCAAATTGCTGCTATATGAGGCAGTTGTTAAATGAGAATTCCTTGTATATGATCTAGGAGAGCTGTATCACTGGGTCAAGGTTAGTATGACCCCCTCAAGCACCAGATAGGTTATAATGTAACATCACTGAGTGACAACAATGCTTGCCTATTTGTCTCTTATTCTGCGCTGCGTCTGCATTTTGGATCTTTATTGAGTTATTTTATTACAGCCTTAGGCCTGCATAAGAGGTAAAACAAAATATGAAAGAGAAGGAAAAGAGATGATACCATCTTAAATTCAGCACAAAATAACCAGAGAGTTGATTGGATTGTTTTGAGTACTCACTGAGAGTCATAAAAGGAATGGCATGGCTCTCCACCACTGTCTCAGAAATTGCTAGAATGTAGTCTGATAGAAGAGAAGGTATATATAACTCATCTGACCTGGCTTATCACTATAATAAAAGTACTATTAAATTAAATTAAGGTCTAGATATCTGTATAGTTAGCAAAACAAAAGAATATGTCTTATTGTCTCTACCTTTGCTCAATCACAGAAAAAATGTTAAAATTGGGAAACATGACAGAAGATTAAAGACAAAAGCAATCCCCTCAGAATAGTTGGCTGCTTTTGCACTGAAGAACTGACCAGCCAGAGATCATTGATATCTTGGATTTTATTTGTAGCATATTTGCCAAAAGGATCAACACGTATTTCTCTAGATAGCTAGCACAATGTGATGGAATGTCTTAACAGACCTTGGAAACACAGAAAAGGCAAGAAGATAGTTAAGGAAGGAAACAGACGAATAGCAAAAGAGATTTTTGAATCCAGAGGAAAAACATAAAAAAGAAATTCAGAGTAAATTTGCCTTAACCAGTTGTGCAGAACAACTCCTTTGGTAGGCGTTAAAAGATTTTCCTACATTACTCTATTTTTCAAAAATCTAATTGGCTCTTATTTTCTGAACTTGCCACCATTACAGAGCTTGACACACAGTACTTGAAATAACAGAGCTCTCTCTTACAACTTCCCCCGAAGGGAGTCCAGGTAGCTTTTGTTCAAAGCAATCAGTCTGTAGAACCAGCCCAGAATCTCTGGTAAGTTTCCCTGGGTCACAGAACAGGGCCTTATCTATGTCACTCTTTGGCCAGCTGCTTTTGAGGCATCCAAACATAGCAGAGCCGTTTCCGTTTGTGCCCAATTATTACAGGAGAGAGCTAAGAAAATGATCTGCTTGAGAGACACCAGAAACTTAGCACACTTTTTAGATCCTACTGGGTTTTTTATATGGGGTCAGTCTGCAAGTCACTAGATGTGAGAGCCTCCATGTATAGTGCCTGGCCAGAAGAGATCCTGGTTCAAAGGAAAATATGTATACTTTTTAAAATATTTAATCCCTCCTTCCCACTCCATTCTTTTAATGGGTTAGTTTCTCCATGACAACCAACTCCTTGACAGTGCAGTTAAGTGCCTTAGGGATGCATAACATGCAAACAGGCCTAGTTTTTCAGAGATCTCATCCAAGCAGCTCATGCAGAGAGAAATCTATCAAAGAAATGTGTTTATTGGTCTGGAAAATAGATGGGTTGTGTCAGTTCTGCTGGGAGTCCTTTTTAAAAGAAGGGCTTCAAATTATTTAGGCTTTCCCAATTATAGGTTTTTCTATTTTTGTTTTTAAACTTATATCCATTTCACCCTCGAGCAGTGGTTTTCCCTGTTTGAGGAAACCTTTACTGTATCAGCTCATGCACTGAAGAAAGGGATGGCAGAATTGCCCACTTCTTCTTCATAGCATTGGGAATGAAAAATGCAAAGATAAAAAAATATCCTGTTAACTAATGGTAGCAGCAGTGGATAATGTGTTGCTTGTCCCATAATGAGAAAATGCAGCAGGAAAGGAGTTAAGCATGCACAAAAGACATGTGATTAAAACATGCTGAGAGACATACTTAATCTTGAAGGACCTCTAGCACCACAATATCTTTAGCCATTTCACATTAGTGTACTTGCTACTCCATGCTCATAGTGCTGCTTACCTCTACTGCGCCGCCTGCTCCGTGATGGATCTGTGTAAAAAGCCAGCTGGGGGTCATTGTCTGCTTCTGTCCCAGAATCCCCTTCAGGGTTCAGAAATGCAGAGCCAGCTAGGTTGAAAAACAAAGACAAAACAATTGCCTGTATTAGCTATTTTTGTATCAACTCACATCCTCACCTCTTTATAGTAAAGGTATATCTCATTTACTTAATTCCATTCTGCCCAAAGAATATATATGGCCTAAAAGAAAATGGAAAAAGAAATCTCAAACACAATCAGCACAGTAAAGCCAGCAATAAGCACAAAAATTAAAAGAAATGTTGTTTTGATAAAAAGGAAAGCAGATTCTAGCAAAATCAATCTGGTGTTAAAGAAGTTGTTTCTCTATAAATGCTTGAGAAGACAGTTGTGTCTTCAAGTATTTTTTCAAAGAAGGCAATGTATTGTCATCTCACAACACTGGGGTTTTGCCACTGAAATGGTTGACCACTGAAATGGATCACCATACTATGAGCCAAGTCCACAAATAGAGCCACAAATAGTTTCTACAGCAGATTGATTCTTGGGCAATATTTTAAAATACAATGCACATAGAATCAATTATGGAATTCTCTTCTCTCTCTACTCTGGCTCCACACATTTTTGGATACATTTAAGAAAAGTTTTGAAAGCTTATTCATTTAATAACAACAACAACAACAACAACAACAACAACAACAACAACAACAATAATAATAATAATAATAATAATAATAATAATAATAATAATAATAATAATAATAATAATAAAGTTGGAAGGGACCTTGGAGGTCATCTAGTCCAACCCCCTGTTCAGGCAGGAAACCCTATACCATTTCGGACAAATGGCTGTCCAGTCTCTTCTTAAAAACCTCCAGTGTTGGAGCATTCACCGCTTCTGGAACACTGCTACCATGTCCCCCCTTGTCCTTCTCTTCATAATAAAGAAGATTGACTGGTAGAAGTGACTGTGAATAGATACTGAGAATGGCAGTTGGTATAGACAGACGATAGATGATTTGTTTTAAATCTTCCTAGTCAAGTTAGATGATTGGGACATAGACAGAAGTATTATTTTTATCATTTTTGATTATTAGCTTTAGTTTTACTTGTTAATTTTAGTTGTGACTGGACCATGCTCTAGCAGGGGCACTTTATTAATAATTTGCTGCTTGTTTAGATGCAGCAGAACTGGAATTATGAGATCCCATTTAGCCAGCTAATTTAAAATTAGACAGCTACATTTTGTTGTTAGACTATCTTTACGGGTAGCTTTTGCATGCAGTAATCCAGATAAGATTTTATTATGATGCAGCTGACTGATCAAGTTAAAGTCACAGCTAGCACACTGGTGAATCCAATTGACCCTCTAATGACAGACAGGCATCAAGAAGACACCAAGTCACACTCCCATTCTGTTGCCACCCAAGAAGCTTGGCTAGGCAGTTCTTGGAAGATGCATTGATGGTGGCAAAGTCAATTTTCTTCACACTAACCATTTCCATGCAGAAGATACAGTTGTATGCCCTGAGCTGTCCATTTGTTAATTGATTTATTGATTATTTATTTACAGCATTTATTACAACTATTTTTATTCTATTCAGTTCTGGAAAGTGACTGTTATTGAACTTAAACAAACCATCAACCAATTTGCTTCAGTGCCAGGAGTTCTTCAGTTAAATTAAGAGGCATTTGGGCAACTCATAAGCAAAAGAAGTGCTCAGGAGTAATAGAGGGCCTTTCAGCTCACTATTGTACAGTGAGATTAGAACTGTGGCCAAATTGCCATCTAATGCCCTAAGAAAATGCCACAGAATGTCCAGGAATCTCTTAGCTTCTTTATGTCTCAAGATCCAGTTTGTCCAGCTCAAATCTCACGTGAAATGACCCATTCATGACAAAAGACACTTACCTCAACAACCACTCGCAATCAGTCGTATTCCAAAAGCCAGCATAAAAACTTGACTGCAATATATACTTAGTCAATAATAGACTTGGCATGAATGTCTAGGATTCCAAGAATACTTGTGATGAATTTTCAAAGAAACTCAAGACATCACTTCTGCCAGTTCAGCAGCAAAGATGCTCAACACCAAGGCAAGCATCTTGTCAATAAAATTCCTATTCTGTCTTTGGGACCTACAGCAGGTAAATCCCTTAGTCAGCTTCCAGATGAGACTGAATGGGACATAACTGCTATGCAGAAATCTCTCAGGAAAAAAGCTGGACAACAAAGAAGAGCTGAGAGGCACAGACTTCCATTGCAATTTGACTGGGCTTTATATAGGAATATGCTTCTGGTTGGCCTTTTGATTATCAATTTGCATGTTGCCTGGATTAATTGATTCTTCCTCCCTTTTCCCTCTTCTTTTTTGAAGCAAGGCAACAAAACAAGGATTGTCCTTAACTGGTTCTTTATCATTATTTCAGCTCAAAATCACCCCTCTTCAGTTAGTTTTTTTAACAACTATATATCACCTGCATAAAATGCAAGTGAAAAAGCACCTTAAAAAGAGTCACATGGGACTGAAAAATGACAAGCTGGAGATTTTGCAACTTTTTCTGCTCATCTTTTTCCATTCATTAGGCTCACATACCAGTGATTTTAAAAAGTAAGCAATAGTTAGAGTATCTAATTATTTAACCAGAATTCATCTATTATCTAACCAAAGTCTATGTTCACATATCATGTTAAACTACAAGTAGACAGACTACAGACCACATGAATTTCTCAAGGTTTTCATGAAACCCTGGAACCTCCTTAGTCATTACCACATCTTGATAATGCACAGGAGTTTTTGCAAATTGTGGTAGGATGGACAGCTTTTCCATCCGCTCACTTCCTTGCTGTTCCCACTTAACCTTCCTGTATCTTAGGAGGAGGAAGGAGGAAATGCAGCACAGTGACCGTTTTATGTAAGCAGTTACCACACTTCTCAACTACTCAAATTGTTTCCCCTTCCTCTTTTCAGAGGCAAATTGGCTGCAAGGATAAGCAAAGTGGTGTAAAAGGAGGGTATTACAGAAATGGAATAATTCCTATAATGCTACATTTCTCTCTCTCTCTCTCTCTCTCTCTCTCTCTCTCTCTCTCTCTCTCTCTCTCTCTCTCTCTCTCT